ATTTTTTAAATTGCAATTTTTTAATTATATTTTAATTTTTTTTAAATTTTATTTACTTTATTTACGCTTAAAAAAATTAAACTTAAAAGTATTTTTTTAATTAAAATTAAATGTTATTTTTAATCATTTTTAATTGAAGTTTTAGCCAATTTCTTCCCTTATAAGAATATAATTTATTTAGATATAATTAAATCACGTTAATCTATTTAAATACGTATTAGTTCCAATTTATAGTCAAGATAATAATAATAATAATAATAATAAAGCAGATTTATTTATTTATTTTTCTTATTAATTTAATAATATTACATAAATGGCACCTTATAAATTACATTATCCAATTTTTTCCTCCTTGCATTGTCCACATGTGTAATAAACAGAAAATAAATATCCTTTACAACTCATAAAACCCATCAAAATCTATTTTAAAATGCATATAAGCATCGAATAACCTTCGGCTACTTGCCAATTAACATTTTTCAAAAATAAATTAAATACTTTTTTTATAAGACAGTATTAAAAAAAACACGTGCTATAAATTAAATCACTCGATTTCATTTTTTTTTAATTTAAATATCCATTACGTCACACGATGTCATGATGTGACGTAAGATGTATAAACTACGTAATTTCCTGTAAATCGTATTCTTTAAATCGTTTGGATTGTATTTTGTGATATATAAACCGATTTTCGAAGGATAAAAATGTTGAAAACAAAATGTCAAAGGCTCATCCAACTACCTGTGTTACCCCGGTTTAACCCTTTTCGATAGAATGGGATCGTTCCATTTTAACTTTCGAAGATGGCTGTTTTAACAATACTTTGCGAATTCAATTTTTATATTATTATTTTTTTTTTAAAATTCCTCGTTTTAATATTCTTCGAAGCTAATATTATGCATTAAATTTAAATTTTATTACGTCATNTTAATTAATTTCATACTGCGCGTCGCGGCGCGAGTCGATTCAGCAGTGCGCGAGGTATTAATTACAAATCTATAAAAACATGCGCTTCTACTTTTAACAATAATTAATTACAATTTATTATTGTTAAAAGTAGAATCGCAGACGTTTTAAATACAGACATTTCAGGAAAGGGAAATTTATTAATATTGCTAGTAATATATTT